ATTAAATTTCATATCAACTCGTATACAAGGTGTCCCAATATTCCGTGGATATAGAACTACTACGTGTTTCTAGAATCAAAATAAGTTTACTGGGCACAATTTACCTCTATACAAAAGTGCTTCCTTCATATATCCGTTAGATGCCTTCAAACTTTAAAAAATAAACACATGTTTTAAGATATTTGAAGAACTGTCAGTGGCGGATAGAGAGGGGGGGCCATGAGGCCCGGGCCCCCCCTAAAATCTGCAAATTGTCTTAAATATTAGGCTTTTGGGTAAAAATTGGCGCACTAAAAAGCATATTCTACATTACTTTTTATTTTGGGCCCCCCTAAAATAAATTCCTGTATACGCCCCTGAGAACTGTTATTCCAATTTGAATGAGATTTGGGGTGTCTATAAATAATGTCTAAGGGCTCGAACACACTGACGACCTGGCCGTCCGTTGGTCGTTGCGACCAGTAGACTGCACTAAAATATTATTATTTTCTGCCGCTTGTTGCCGGTTTTCTCCCAAATTAATAATTTTCCAGATGAAATCCCTCAAATTCAACCCATAATATTTTATTTTCTATAAGATATAGTGTTTTAGTGTAGTTTTTGCACACGTGCAGTAAATCTAAAGAAATAGTATACAGACTGGATCAAAGGGAAACTTTAATCTAGTCCCTCTTTTTAGCAAGGGTCGATTCTATTAAAAATTCAAAACATTTTTATATGACCTACTCTATTTATGGTTGGTATGATACCTGTTATTATACCTTCGAGTTTCGATGTTAAAAAATAAAAAAAATCATATTTAAAGTTTTTCTACAACCACTTGTTTTTTTTATTAAATTAGTTTTTTAGTTGTATTGTAGTCATGTACAAGGAGGACAACTGTATTTTAAATATTATATTTAATTTAACGTTTTTCAAACAGGGTCCGGTAGACTATATTTCTACTAGGTACATTATTTAAAAAAAAAGAGTAAAAGTAACTTAAACATTCATAAAAATAGAAGTATTTAATGTTGTAGATTCTCAGTAGCAATAAAAAAGAGGAATTTATATTGTAAACATTGAAATAACTGGAAGCTAAATTTTCTCCCTGTTTATATTTAGAGCCAGTGTCTGACGACCTTGTTTCACGATGGCCCTAATATGTTTACTTCTAAAGTCGATAAGAGCCATTAGTAGAAGTCCATATCAGTAGAAAAAAAAAACACACACAATGCTTTTTGTTCGGCCTGTTCGTGCGCGCTCGGTTCGTTCGGGCTAAAATGCTCGAGTCTGGACGCACCTTTAGGAACAATACTGTTTTTGTCCTTTATTGATATAATGCTAAAAATCTCACGAGTTACATTTGTCAGTCTACACATATTAAATTACATAGACGTAGCATGTAGAATATTCTGTTATGAAACGACTGATGCAATAGCAGGCATCGCGAATTTGAAAAACATGGAAATGACGACGTTATCGTGTAGTCGGGGTTGGAGATTTTACTTACTCCATACCACACCAGTTAAGTATTTATTAACGAAAAATCTAAGAATATTTTAAATGCATTATTTAATATTAGAACATTTAATAAGCTCATGAATAGCAATTTCGCTTGGATATTTTAACATTTCTGAAACTTAATTCTTTCTGAAACAATATTTTCTAATTGGTAAAACGTAAAAAATCGTTAGATCTGACAACTCTGTTGAAACTGGTCGTTCATCTGGCCGCAGCAATAAACGCAATGCATCCGGCCAACCGACGGCCAAGTCTGACCTAGTCGTCAGTGAGTTAGAGCCCTAACGATGGAATTGGAAAATATTTCTACTAAAATTTATGAAGGGGTAGAGTTTTTTATCCTTCCCTTACTTTTTCTTTTGAAAGTCAAAAAACATAGGCACACCAAATCTCATTTGTGTAAATCTATAAGGATGAAATCTTTTTTGATTACGTTCGTTCTTGAGCTGGGATAATATTGGATAATAATTCTATAGATGGTACAATAAGGATAAAATCTTTTTTGATTAGTTATATTAGCAGCTTTTAATTGTTTCCTTGTCTATTCGTTCTTGAGCTGGAATAATATTGGCAATTTTATTCTATATTATATATTCTATACCTAATGGATTTATGAACATATTGGTTGCAAATAATCTTGAAAAAACCCTACCGACTAACTTCCACCACCATGGTTGGTTGGTACAGCATCTTTAGTATATTTTTTTTGTCGATGGCTTCCCGTAATGATCTTTTCAGTATTGGATCTCCTTGAACAATGGAATCTCGAAGTAACTAACAGTCCTCACAGTTACTAATAAGGAAACTGGATCTAATAGCCTCGAAATTATGCACCAAACTTCTACAGGAAGTTGTGGTAACACTGTAGTATAGGCGCAGATAATGGGTAGCAGTTGATACATTTTCAGGCAGGTTTCACAATAGGAGTTAGGATAATAATGATCACAATTCTTAAAAACGTGCTATTTATACCTATGTGTGCCCAGTCAACCATGACAAATGCAGTAAAGCGCATGAAATAGTCAACCATCACATTTTATATTGTTTGGAACAATTTTACATGTTCTCAATGACAAAATGGAACAAGAAGATGGAACTATTCTCCTCAAATTTCCCAAAATATTGCTTCTGTCTGGCGCATCCGGGGTAATCACAATAAAAGAAATGTTTGGAGGTTGAATGGAAAACACAACGGAGGTTCCTGTATTTCATTTAAATTGTTTGTTATACAGTTGGCCAAATATTACCTCTTTAACTTTGTTGAATGACCCTGGGTTGATATCCAAGCAGGAACCAATTAAAAGAAGAACTAAATAATCTCGAAGACTCCATCCGTAACCTGGAATATGGATGTCCTCCAACAGTCTAAGACACTCGAAAAAGTTCCTCAGAACTTACGACCGAGAAAAATCAAAGATTATTTATTTTAGTAAAAACAATCTTCGGATTGTCACGGGGTTTCTAACAGGACACTGTCTCCTCAATGAACACCTCAGTAGGCTGAAGCTGAGAAACAACAGCAAATGCAGATTCTGTGGGTAAAATAGGGAAACACCAGAACACCTTATCACTGAGTGCGCCGAGACGACGACCGTTGGTGCCATGAACTTTGGTACGGCCGATGTCGAGGATGGAGAGCTGGCCTCTGTGGAGCCGTCTCAGATACTGGCTTTTGTTAAAGATCTGAGACTGTATGATGAGTTATAACTCAAGATAGGGTCTCGGTGATTAACTGTCCTCCTAAACATTCTACATTCTATACTACAATATGATGACAGAATATTAAATTATAAAAATAGTATATTTTAAAACCTACGGGAACATTTAATATTAGTTAGCCGAATGGCAGACTGAATTATTTTAAGTGGTCCGCTTCCGCAGCACTTCTGGCGACCTTTCTGCCGTAATCTCGTTAAGGGCCCCAAGTAGGAAAAGCGAAAATTAACTTACTGACTCCCTCTCTCTTAATAATAACTAATTCAATTAGCTAATTTTAATTTTTTTCTTTTTACTTCAGAGCCTATCCGTTATTTTTTTCCGTTCTTTTACACGTATTTTTTAAAGTAGGATCTTCCATAATATTTGGATTAAAATCTTATAATCCTATTAAACTGGTAATTTTAATTAAAATTGTGTATAAAAAAATTGTGTGTGCATATTTGAATTGAAACTTCTTAGTATCAGCTATTGAATTGGTGGATTTGAAGGACATGCTGAAAAAGTGTAGTTTAAAATGTAAGTAATAATGTGAATGAAATGAAACTAATTAAAAGGTGATAAATTAAAAAATGTTTTTTGACTTTCAAAAGAAAAAGTAAGGGAAGGATAAAAAGCCCCACCCGAAGAATCTACAACAGTAGTTACTTCTGTTTTTATGAATGTTTAAGTTACTTTCTTAATTTTTTTTTCAAAATAGTGTACCTAGTAGAAATATAGTCTAATGAACCCTGTTTGAAAAACGTTAAATTAAATATAATATTTAAAATACAGTTGTCCTCCTTGTACATGACTACAATACAACTAAAAAAACTAATTTAATAAAAAAAACAAGTGGTTGTAGAAAAACTTTAAATATTGCATAAAAATATTTTTTTACGTGTAACAAATAATTTTTTACACGTAAAAAATAGTTTTAACGTGTAGCAAATATAGAGGGTGAGTCATAAATAAGTGCAAATATTTTCAGGGGTGGTATATTTCGACCCCAGGAACACGTCTATGAAGTATTTTTCGCAAAAAAAGAATGTTGAAAATCGTGCATTTTCTTTTAAATTTCCCTGTATATTTTTCGAAAACTTTTTTTCACCGCAAATTTTCCCAGGGTATAATTTCTTAATCTCTGATATTACCATAGTTACGGCTTTACTCCATGGTTACGGCACTAAAAGGAATGCAAATACAGAAAAAATCCGGTGGCTCTCAAAATTTTTTGAAAAAAAATCATTTTTTTTTAATTTTCAAACTTAAATAACTCGGTTATTTTGGACTTATCTGAAAAATGGTAAAGGGAAAATATGTTTCTTTTATCGAGATCTACCAGCCCTGAAAACATTTGCACTTATTTAAGACACACCCTGTATATAATAGATTCTATTATTATTACTGCAGCCACCAATGCAGTGTGCATTCACCATTTAATAGAATACTTATATGTTGATATACTCCCAAAATTTTATTTCTATATAAACTCCCGTTCTCCTTGGAGCCTCCGCGTCGTATGAGAGGCGCCACCCTGTATAAGTTAAATAAAGAAAAACAATAGAAGTCAAAAATTCTGTTAGTTTTAATATTATTTATTTTATTATTGTTGTTAAAATAATTAAAAAGTTAAATCCTGTTATAGTGGTATAAAATAAAAATTCTAACACAGCACACAACCCTACAAAAACTAAAACAGAAACTATATAGCGTTCAGTTTACACTCCAGCTCCTAAATTGATAATCTATAAACCTTTTTGTAGTAAAGGTTAAAGTTTTTTGCGCTTTTTTGCTCTTACCTTTCTTTAGTCGAATCGACAATATCCCCCGGGTCAGGAACAGATGCTTTTTGGAGACCCGTAACTTCCGAACTAGTTTCCACCTTCATCTCCGTCTCGTTCATCAAATGCTTGATTGTTGCCGCATTTCAGAGCGACTTGAGAAGTGGAACTAACATTTTCTGGAACAAGAAAAATCGAATCAAATTTAAAAGTTTACTTTTTCACTAAAGTTATACGTAGATAGATTTCAGTCTTTAGCGCTGGAGCAATAGTATTTTAATTTCCAGTTTAAAAGTATAATCTTAATTATACTTAAATAATTGTTCATTAATTTTTTCGATTGCTTTTATAATAATCTGTTAAATATATGTTATATAACCTGTAGTAATGACGGAAAGTGCCAGTGTACAAACTCTTCCCAGAGATTTCCAAGGTTTGCTCGCTAAATATGCTCCAGAAGTAAAGGTATTAGTTATGTATATGTGAAATCCATAAAAGTAGTAGTTTTTGCAACTAATGCAACACATTTGTTCGCAGAAACTACAGTGATAGACTAATCGATAGATATCTACCTATAGAAGAAGACTAAAAATATTTAGATGATAGTTTCATCTTCTTCCAGTGGCTAAAAATACTTTTCAGGATATGTAAAAGGTTCTGTTTGGTATATTTTATTATAATATGCTCGATAGGATTTAGTTTTTGTGAGTTGGAAATTCTATTTTTTTATTTTGAATACTAATTTAACCAAAAAAAATACCAATCCAAGTATGTTTCTTCTACAGTCACAAAACATTTCAACGCATGTTTAATTTAAACCTATACCTACTACACCTCCCAGACTCAATCTGTAAACTAGCTAGAGATTGATTAGCGAATGCTCGTGTTACAATACGTTACGTTACAACGCTTGGCTCAAGTCAAACTCCGTCTTTTGCGAGTCCGACATTACACGGGCGACGCAAAAAGTACATTTTTACCCCGAATGGAACATGCCATTTTTTTCAAACGTTATAAATAATTTTTTAAACAATTTTGCTGAGTGCTGAGTGCAACAAATATGCCGTTTGCACATGTTGCACACAACATTTTTTCTACGATCGAATTGAAATTCTTATTTAAATGTTTATTAAAAAGATTTTACAATAATTCTCAGAATAATATTACCACTAACAATGACACTTTTTTTCTGAGTTTATTTTAATTTTAATGTCGCAGTTTGAAAAATTTGCGAAAGTAGTTGATGGACAAACTTGATTTCCAGTACTTTTTTGAGTTTTATTTTCATTTCTGCTCGTGGAGGTCTCGGGTTCTTGTTATTCACTTAAAACTCTTATTCGTGACATTGCTGCGAGGTGTGCAGTACTGGTACTCTGTTTATCTTCCAAGATTTGACAATTTTTACAAAAATATACTAATTTTTTTTCTTTAGTTAAAGTTGTCATTAAAAAATTTGACTTTCAAAACAGTAGATAGTGTAAAAAATTGGTACTTTTTACACGATCGTAGAAAAAAGTCACTTTTACTCCCAATAGAACATGCTATTTTTTTTCAAACGCCACAAATAATTTTTGAAACAATTTCAAACGTTCCAAATAATATAAAAAGATTTAAAACTAATACCTTGTATGTAATTATATATCGTTGCGCTCGTTGAATTTAACACTTTGACACACACGACTCGAAAATATGATACTATGTCAGTTTAAGAATATATTTTCGTCTTTAGGTGCGTACTCACTAGAGCATTTTGGTCCGGACGAACCAAGCGAGCCGAGCGCGCACGAACGAACTCAATAAGGAAAAGACCGCGATGTTCAGAGTGCTTGTTGCGTTCGCTGTGTTCCCACGTTCAGTTGTATTTAATTTTTATTCGCGCTTTGAATCTCTATCTACACGTGATTGCTTCTTTACAGCTAGGTTAGAAATCATGTGACATTTGCCAAATCTTTCCATTAAAAAAACAAGCTTTATTGTTATATTCGTTATAATTTGTGTAAATGTACCTTTTCCCATTCCAATAGATTGGGTTTACAATCATTTTTCCATTCCTCTTCTCCCTTCTGAAACTTGCCAGAAGATTTTCTTTTTTTTTTTCTTTGCTTCTCCAGAAGCACATCCCATGATCTCATATATCTGCCTCCACGCATCAAACTTCTTAACTTTATTATCGGAAAGTGCCAGTGTACAAACCTTCCCAGAGATTTGGTTTGCTCAAATATGCTCCAGAAGTAAAGGTATTAGTTATGTATATGTGAAATTCATAAAAGTAGTAGTTTTTGGCAACTAATGCAACACATTTGTTCGCAGAAACTACAGTGATAAAACAATCGATAGATATCTACCTATAGAAGAAGACTAAAATATTTAGATGATAGTTTCATCTTCTTCCAGTGGCTAAAAATACTTTTCAGGATATGTAAAAGGTTCTGTTTGGTATATTTTATTATAATATGCTCGATAGGATTTAGTTTTTGTGAGTTGGAAATTCTATTTTTTATTTTGAATACTAATTTAACCAAAAAAATACCAATCCAAGTATGTTTCTTCTACAGTCACAAAACATTTCAACGCATGTTTAATTTAAACCTATACCTACTACCTCCCAGACTCAATCTCTAAACTAGCTAGAGATTGATTAGCGAATGCTCGTGTTACAATACGTTACGTTACAACGCTTGGCTCAAGTCAAACTCCGTCTTTGCGAGTCCGACATTACACGGGCGACGCAAAAAGTACTTTTACCCCGAATGGAACATGCCATTTTTTTCAAACGTTATAAATAATTTTTAAACAATTTTGCTGAGTGCTGAGTGCAACAAATATGCCGTTTGCACATGTTGCACACAACATTTTTTCTACGATCGAATTGAAATTCTTATTTAAATGTTTATTAAAAAGATTTTACAATAATTTTCAGAATAATATTACCACTAACAATGACACTTTTTTTTTGAGTTTATTTTAATTTTAATGTCGCAGTTTGAAAAATTTACGAAAGTAGTTGATGGACAAACTTGATTTCCAGTACTTTTTGAGTTTTATTTTCATTTCAGCTCGTGGAGGTCTCGGGTTCTTGTTCTTCACTTAAAACTCTTTTTCGTGACGTTGCTGCGAGGTGTGCAGTACTGGTACTTGGTTTATCTTCCAGGATTTGACAAATTTTTACAAAAATATACAATTTTTTTTCTTTAGTTAAAGTGGTAATTAAAAATGTCAAGGTGTTTTTTGCCCTAGTGCAAAAACTATATTACGAGTACTTTTTGCACTACTTTAAAAAATTTGACTTTCAAAACAGTAGATAGTGTAAAAAATAGGTACTTTTTACACGATCGTAGAAAAAAGTCACTTTTACTCCCAATAGAGCAGTGATTCCCAAAGTGGTCCAGGTGGACCCCCAGGGGTCCACGGGAGACTTGCTGGGGGTCTACGTAGGCGTGAACAAAAAATGGGGGTCCATAAGATGTTAATGGGGGTCCACGAAAATTTATCTGCTTTTGATAGTAAAGAGCAAAAATGTAAGCATAGTTTTTATAAGGGCCTACCTACATTGTTTTAAGTACCTATCTAAGCAGATAATATTTTAATAAGGCAAGCGACTGTTACTTGTCCAAACTTGCGTATTCGATATTACGTACAATTTCGTGTACAGACTTGCAAAGCGCTATCCGCCCGACAATGCTTAATGCTTGTTCAGACATGAACTTGATCACCACTATAAATACTTGATGCCAAAGGCAAACGCATTCATTTGTTTCGGAATTTCGAAAAAAGGCGGAATTTGGAAAAAAAAGTTGTGAGAAAATTTATATCTGTGTTTGCTAGTGCCGGAGAAAAGTAAGTAACCTACCTTTTTTGTTATAGTACTTAAGTATTTTGTTTTACGTGTACTAGTCGGTTGATCACAACGGCCTGTATAGATAGGTAACTTAGTAACTTACAGATATTTTAATTGTCCTCTTTCGATTTGAAGACAAACACAGCACGTTTTATTCAATTGTTTTTTCACGAGAGAAACACTGCCTCTCTAAAAAGGCCGAATAAGCAATATTGCAGAGCAATTAATTTTGTAATTTTTCTTGCAAATAACTACTAATTTTATAAAACAGTAATTTCATAATCATTTTAAATTGGTTTTGAAGTAACTATTTTATCAAAACTATTCATTCGCGCTCGGTTCGTTTGGCTCGTTCGGAGCAAAATGCTCTAGTGAGTACGCACCTTTTGATTTGCATACTTTTGTGCTTAAGAGTTAACATAGATAAAGGATTGTTTCCTTTATCTATATGTGTTAACGTGCTTTACTTCTATGCCTATGCGTTAAAATGACTTTGACGCATTTGCGAATAGAGATAAATAGTGTATAATTAACTTATTTTAATTCAAAAAATACATAGTCGAACTATCTCCACGGAATATTAGAACACTCTGAATATAAACGCTATAAGATTATTTTTATTCGATCCCTCAAGAGGATATCGCTTCACCAATTTCGATGATTGTTTTTAAGATGAAATGACTCTATCCCCAAATGGATCATAAATACATAGGTAGGCATAGGACATTAGACATTAAATACGTATAGAATACAACAATTTTTTAACAAACAGTAAAATTGTTTTTGGGGAAGCAATATTACCAGCTAGAAACGTGTGTTGAAGATCAATAAATATGTTTTTAGATTTAAAAATACCACAGCTCTACAATAAGAGTTACAAAGTTGGTAGAAGATTCATTTAGATATAGAAAAGAAAATAAAAACAAAAATAAAAAATAAATTATATTTACACTTCGAAAACAGATGTGTGTTCTGGATTAAGATAAATTGAGACAAATATTGTGAAAAGCACGAAACAACTAGAGGCGCTTAGTATCTGTAGACAGTACAGGAAATTTCGCAATTCCAAAGGACAAACAGATATTTTATTGTTATTTCTCTTCTGATCAAATAACTATTTTATACGCTTTTCTAGTTTTCCCGACTTCATACCGTGTTTCCTATTTGTTTCCATTATCTTATCGATGGCAATTTATAAACCTGATAAATTTCCTTATCGACAAAGTAATTTTGGCACTAAATTTGTGTAATATTAGTTTTACAATTAGTAACAAAAGACTTTATGTACATAAATAAGATTAATATTATGCTGGTCATTTGTTAGCAAATCCGTAGTGCCTG